GGACTATGTTGGGGAAATGCAGTCCACCCCTCAGGGTCCCCTTGAGGGATAAGGGCTAGACAACTAAAACAGGGGAATACCGTGCCCATGGCTCCCTCAGGCCGTTCAGGATTGGCACAAGGTCAGCCTTTCATCCTTTCAGCACGGCCCTTACACCTTAGGAAGTGGATAGTAGAAGGGGTTGGAGAAGGGACGGAAACAAAAAGCTGGAGGGGGAAAAGACCATGCAAAATTAGTTGAGAAGAGGGCTGGGGCCATTGTGTAAAAAACCTCATGACTTTTTTTTGCAAAGAAGCGAAGGGAGATCCCCAGCATTGGGTCTCAGTCCCAGCCTCCTAAGCCGCCCCCCACGACAACAACGGGATGGGGGGGGTGCAGAGGAAAGGAAACAGTTTGGTTAATAGAGTAAATCTTTTATAAAAGTTTAAGGATTATTATTTATATTTGTAGTTATAACTGTAATATGCCCTTGCGTACGGTTGCACAGAATAAGGCCTATGAACATATTTAGCCCTCAACTAATAGTATTGTCGATTTTATAGTGAGTATTGACATGATTTTGAAAAAAAATCCTAAGGATATTTACACATTACACTATATGAAAATTGAGCTGGAAACCACTCATTTCATTACTGTAAATACTACAGCAAAGTAATGTAAAGTTAAAAGACTTCTTATCTTTTAAATTTAGTTTGATGTTCTGCTTCAAATCAATAGTTATGATGAGTTAATAAAATAAAATTAATCAAAAAATTCAAAATTGCTGCTCATCTTGTGTTTTTTGTTACGGTTATGATTTATTCTATTGGCAATATCTCCGACCCTAGTAGCTGACTGATCCATCATGCATACACAGTACAGTTTACATAAACAAAATCCTGTAGCATGTAAAATATTCACTCAATTTTTCAACCAGTCAAAATTGATCACATGTATTGAGGGGGAAAATAAACTGCTTTTAAACAAGCGTTATGATTAGTCGACTTGCATTACAGTAACACAAGTAGTCAAGAATAATCGGATTGTACATTTTACAAAGCCTGAGCCACACCAGGATAAATAATATGCAAGGTAAGAAACAAAACCATAAAAAATGGGTTCTTTTTTTTATTTATATATTTTTCATTTGTGCCAAAAAGTTTAATATAGTTCCTAAATAATTAACCATCCCTTTAGATTATATATAAATACTATAACTGGAAATAAAATGATTTGGGACTAGGAAAAACTAGGTTCAATAGGAATTTCTCCCTTCATTAAAATCTGACTCGTCTCTTTTGAAAACTTATAAAAGCAAAATACCTCGTACACATTTTAAAAAGTTTAACATTCTTTACAAGAAATCTCTTGACAACGTGCAAATCTTTTCTCAGCTGCATCAAAATGCTGAAATGACTATTGTGTGGGGTTTTTCCTAACCATCAAACCATATGTCAGATTTGTTACATTATACAAAAGTGAACAAAAAGAAAAATAACGGCTCAATCTATAATACTCAGTAAATATAATATTGCAGAAATGGTTTGGTTACAAATGAGAGTATAAAGCCTTTCAAAATCGACTCTTTTCTTCTCTCTCGCCGCAAAGCTGTAGTTATTCTTTCTTGAAGAGGAATAAGGGGCGGGAAATATCTTCGGTTTATGCACAGTACAGGCTCTGATGGTCTTTCCTTATGACTTATGAAAGGAAACACTTGCCTTAAACCTACAAATGAGGATGAGGAAACATCCAGCATGTAAAATTGTGTTGTAAAAAATTTCATAAAACAGCAAATTTATGTTCTTTGGACCCTGTGTTATAAGTCACACTTCACACAAATCTGTGACAGTTTCTGTAATTAGATTTTATGCTCTAATAATTATACAAAAGTATTTATAAGTTTACATTGATGAAACCACACATTCTAGAAATAATAGGTGTAATAGCACAAAAGACTCAATATTGCCGAAGACTGTTTTTCTTTGGGCCCTAAACAACTTCAATGCTGGATTTTAAGAGGATGATCATCAAATGCCTGTCCTAAAATAACATTATATACATCAGTGTTACTTCTGCTTTTAATATTTGGTTCCGTGTCCTCGACTGTCTACTAAATGATTCATATACAAAGGGCTTTAGGCAGTGTGGTGCTGATACTCTTATAAAAAAGGGCATTTCCAAAGAGGACCTGACAATTTTTTGATAAAACTTTTAAAATCTAAACAATAAAAACCAAAAATGTAACTAGCTCACTGCAAATGCACCTGAGGTGTTATGGTCGACATAACTTTTCCCTCTGTTGATTCACAATCGTCACAACGCCTATTTAACGATGCGCACGTGAAACCAGCACCTTCATCAATCAAGTCCTCCTTAACGTCTGTAGACAAAAGCCCAAACCTCTTCCTTCCCTTTGGTTTGAGACATAATCCTTCATCGGCACAACCTGACAATTTGCGGTCATGGAATGCTGGAACACACTTTGCTCAGAAACAAAAAGATGAAATATGGATTAATGATGTTAAAGCTCTCTATTTTAAAAGATAAAAAGTAGTTCCTTGTGCAAGTGGTGTTCATATTATCTTTTAATGACCAAAATGAATAATTAATTTTAAATGTGTTCTTGTGCTTATATGTCTTTCATTCTATTGTTTGTGCTTCTACTGAATATGTGTGTTTACATAAACTATATGGGGAAATTTAAGATTCGTCAAGCATGACAGCAGCATGACCCAATGAATGTGGTGAAATAAAGAAAAGGAAAAAGGAAAAAACGAGGGGCAGAATAATATAAAATTAGGACCATATAGCGAGTCAGTCAGTCCTCCTGTACACCTGTAGCAGACTCTTTCCCTTCAGCCACTGATTATGTTTCAACTTTTGTATCTTTACTCCTTTTATTTACTCTGAAATCCGTGTCTTTAACTGTGATGCACACGCATGCACACACACACACACACAAGGCCCCAAAGGGAGGCTGTGCTTTCTCTAGCTTAACAACCCCCATGTGCTTCTTTACATTCAAGTCGTTTAAGTAACTTCAACCTTTGCACTGCGAAGGCGATGCCATAGCATGATGCTATTGCTATGCCTGAGAGCGAGTGCAGTTAACTTTGAGGTCTAGATTACCGACATGGGAACCCAACTTGACCTTTGTGTACGACCTCTACTTGGGCCCTTCAGCACTGTGTGTCAAGCCGAATGGAGGCCCTGTATAAGGTCTCACACCCAGGATCTTTGGGGATGGGGGAGGAAGGGTGGGGTGGGGGGAATGGCCTTACTGAACTAAATGTTTAATAATTGCTTTCTGGGGAGAGGAGGAGGAGGAGGAGGAGGAGCATGGGGGGTTGGTGAAAGGGTATTCTGCAAATATCACAGGTAAAAATCTTCTTAAGTTTCTAAATACCGGTTGTACTGCTGCTTTCTGAGGTCTCTCTCTCTTTATCATGATAATTTGTTGTGATTCTTGATAAGCACTGCAATCTTGTGGCAGAAACTAAGGTCTGGATCACCTCTGCACTTCAAACTATCTGTCATGTGTGTAAGCATATACCAGCCTGTGTATGCCAGAATCTACAAATACACATACATACGATAACAGTGCTGCGATGCAAGAACTTCCAATTAAGATTTTGACATCCATGACCTCAGAAAGTTTGTGTTTGAATTTTCAACTTAGATTATCCTTGAATTTGACAATAAAAGTAGATTTATTAAATGAAATAAAAAAAATAAAAATAAATAAAAATAAACTGACAATACTTCAGTCCTTTAAAGATCAAAAGCATGTACTGATACTGGATTTACACTTTTTCAAAGTTTTCGATTTACTAGTGAGAAAACTTTAATTAATAAAACATCCAAAGAAAAATAGAACAGTACAAATATTAAAAGGTACATTATAAGAGTCAAGATCCTGAACACAGCAATAAAAGGTAAACAAATGCCTTTTTTTCTTGTCGATTCCCGAGATCAGTTAACGTTAATAATAATAATCAATCACCATAATAACAAGACTCTTGATACAGTACCACAATTTCTCTAAACTTTTGAAGAATCATCATCATATGAAAAATAAATATCTTAATAAGGAGCCCTTTAAATTGCGAGACCCCAAATCAATCTCCCTGGAACTCCCTTCGGAAAATGCCTGTGCCAATTCCTTCACTTGCCAGATCTTGTATCTCCTTTGTTGTGCGATTCAAGAAGGCGTGGACAAAGGATGAGAAAGAAGGAAAGGAAAAGGAAAGAAAAAGAAGAAAAGAAGAAAAAAAAAAAAAAAAAAAAAACTAATTTCAGATATAATAAAAAGCAAGAAAGTGAAAAAGTGGGGAGAGAAAAAAAGGGAATTACAATCCAAAAGGAATGGAGAGGGAGGAAAGGGCCAAGATGCAGCAGTCCAAGAGCCTTCGGGTGAACAGCACAACAAAATGGGGTCGCCAAAGTCTTCCTCCACTTGGGTTATGGAAAATGAAAAAAGTCACTTGGGAGGGCATTAGGGGGGGGGGGGGGGGGGATCTGGGGGTTGGGGGGGGGGGAGTGAGGAGACGACATGGTGACCTGCAGGGTACTGCTGGGGGGTCTAGTTGGCCGTTGGAGGAGCTGGTGGGGAGCCCCCATCCTGTGGAATAAAAGATGAAAATTAAACTCTACAATTAGTAAATATCTATAAAAAAAGAGTAAATATCTTTTAAAGACTAACTTTCTTCAGCTGGAAGACAAAGACTAAAATCTTACTAAGAAGAGAATCAGAAGGGAAAAAGGATCCTGAAGAGAAAAGGAGACGAAGATGAAAAACAAGAGCAAAAGAAATACCAGATCAACTTCACCATCTTCAAATCTGACTCTTCATATCAAGGATTCACTATCATCATAAACTGCAGTGGAGACATCCCAAACAAGTATAAACAAAGACATCAACACACAATATACTAGATAAAATGTCTTTACATGTATTTAACCATACCATCCATCTTCAGGGCTTTCAAATTTTGTCATCAAAGTTTTGACGTCTATTTTGTAACCAATAGGTCCATGGCCAATAGAAATGTATATCTATGCCCCCAGGAAGTAATCAGACTACACTTACTGCAGCACCAAGTCAATTTCAAGAGAAAAATATTAAGTGTGGAAAAATTTGTTTTCTTCCCCAATGATTTTGACCGACTCGGCAATTACAGTTTGAGGTAAACATTGAAAAATGATAGTTTAATCCAATTTTTGGAAAGCTTTCACGAACAAATGAGCCTCAACAGCATTAAAACTCCATGGAACCAGAAGGAGTTTCTATTGTCATAGCATGTATAAGGGCCATTGGGCAATCAGGCCCACCACTGCCATGATATGCATTGGTGTTATGCACCACATGCCCAAGACCTGTTGGTCACCACTGCTCTTCAACTCAAATCCCAAAGAAATAAAGGCAATGCAACAAGGAGGGCAAGAGAAAAGAAAGGAAAAGGAAAAACAAGGGAAAACAAGTTGGCAATAAAATTCCATCAGGTTTTTTTGCCCTAAGACACAAACTGAAGTAATTCAAATTTCCTGAATTTTGAATGTTTTGAAATAAACATTCTACTGGTCTTAGTATATTAACCCATTGCTGCCAAGTGGAATGTATGTACAGCTACGCAGAAACATACCGTTACAAAATCAAGCTAAACATTGACACAAGCAACAATATTTTTTTAAATATAGTTGTTAATGTTACAAAACTGTTGGTATCATAGATTTTCTAACTGCTTTAGGGTGTGTATGGCTTATCTGAATATTGCAAGGCATATTCCATCCCTTACGCGAATAAACTCAACATCTCACAGTGAATCCATATGAATTCCAAAACAACTATTTGAGACTTGAATTTGAAAACAAAATGCCATCGCTTCCATAACACAAGGTTCTGTTCGATAATGAAGGTTTCATTGTCCTTACTAGAGTTTTCCATGTAGCTGTACATGTCATGACTGTTGTGGACCAAGGAGCAAGTGGCATCGCATCACCACCATTCAAGCACCATCAGCTCAATGGACGGAGATTGCTTTACTTCGATAGTAGCAGCAGCATTTCTATAGTGAAACTTTTTGGCAATGGCACCTCAAGTGAAGATATACTTATAATTTATTATTATTATTATCATTTTGTTAATGATATCAAAATATAAGCTTTTTGGTGCCTACTGAAAAAGCCGGGCACAAATAGGGGACCGTTGATGTGCCCCAATACCCATGCATTAATGGCCACTAAACAAATTTTTAACCCGATGTTAAAAGAATATTGATCTTAAAATAAAATTCATGTACTCTCTCTGCTGACAATTCAAACAATCAAATGTTTCTTCCAAAAACAAATCACAAAATGTAAATTGTTTCCCTGACATGCTAACAGGATTGCTCTCTGCTTGAACTGTATGGGGTTCTGCACATTTTATTGCTATAAATAAAACTGTTCAGTCTGTGATTTTACCTTCTACTATACAAATACAAAATTTATATTTATCACAAGGAGGTAGAGACTCACCACCATTATCAGACAGGCATTTACAGACCAGCTTCAGAACCCTTATCCCTCTCACCTGGTGGCTATTGGAGGGCTTGGCATCTGGGTTGGAGCGAAGGGACGACGGCCGCAAGAAGAACAGGACGATGGCGAGAAGACCCCACATCATGGCCAGGAACATCATGCTATCTGAACCAGTGTCACGGGCGGGCATTGTTGGCCCGGGCACTGTGGGGGAGAGTGGAAAGACGAGGGTTAGTGGGGGTGGGGTGGGTTGGATTCTCTTCCCTAAAGTTTTGATGGGTTGTGAGGTTTATTTCTGGAATAAGTGCAGTTTCTAACACTTCCCTACGAACTATTTACGATCATTATCATCCTTAAGGTGAAAAAAAGAGTTATTCCTGTATAATGCTCTACATAGGAACTTCTCTGAAAAACCTGTAGGTCTGTAACTCAAGAACCATTCAGAATATTACAGGACATCAAATATGGCAATTTTCTTTTGAGTACCTTTGCATAATCGATCATAATGGATTCCTCTAACTCTCTACTATCCCAATAAATCGAGGTCATGCCATGAGGCTGGATTTGACTATATACTGACTAAGTCTATGCACATTACTTGTATCTTCTCCCTTAATTTTCTGGTACCATACATTCCTTCCTTGCTATTGGGGCCAAGATTGTGGGTATTGAGGGGGTTTCTACGGTATAATTTTGCTATATAGAGATAACAGAGTGAGAAGAATCCAATAATATCAAAATTGTCTCCATCAGTCATGCGAAGGCATTCCGAAAAATCACTAAAATCTCCTTGTGTTCCTAAGCCTGTCAGTGATGGACAGTTGGCCAGATAACTATAATTCTTTTCATAAACATTAATATGTTTGACATCACCATCACATTCTTATGAAATCTAAATAAAATTAATAAAAAGTCGGCCAGGTTACAAGACCCACATTTTTTCTCTTTAATTTTGGTTCATTTTTTCTCTGCCACAAACTAAATGAACAATTTACTGATCCTTTACCTGAACTTCCTTCAATAAAAGGTACTCTAGGTGATCAAACACTGATTCAAGAGCACGAGAAAGCCAGGAAAATACTCCCACTGTTCAAAGATTCTCCGTCACTGTCTGTATTTATACTTACTTTCGTTGAAACATTCATTGTCTGTGCAGTAGGTCTGGGATTGTCTCAGCTGAAAGAAAAGAAAAGAAATTAATTCAGAATAAAAAGGTAAAGAAAATCCTTTTTTTCTTTATTTTTTGGCTTACACATCTGAACAATACAGCTTTTCATTTACAATCAACTATTGTGTAATAAGTAAACAGAATGAGTAAGAGATGGAAACAATGAGGAAGTGTGTGTGTTCGGGTGTGGGGGTTAGGGGGAGAGGAAAAAAAGCAGAGAGAAAGAATACACAGAATGCTTGGAATCTGAAATAAATACGTAAGGTATACATGCACATAAACACACATTACTTTCTCTATCTCCTCACTATTCAAAGTTCTCGAGTCACACATCCCACCTTCACCTTCAATCTCCCATTCCCTCTACCCCTAACCCGTCCCCCCAACCCGTCCCCCCAACCGGTCACCCTCCCCCAGACCCATCTCCATCTTCTAAACATCTGATGTACTGAACAATTATCTCTTTCCCAGGAATGGGCTGAAATAGTAAACACCTGTGGTGCTGCTGACTAATCACACAGCTGTCCTCTCTCCCACACACACACAAATATACATATGAACGCACAAACAAACAAGATAAAAATTATCTACCTCAAATGGATGCCTAGCCTATATAAGTCATGATTACATATTCCAGTACATTGAAATATCAACTTGTAAATGCTAACACATCAAAAGATATGTTCCTTCTGCCTTTTGTCAGTTTGTATCTATATAAATACATACAACAGTGTGTGTGTCACATCTCTCTCTTGTTTATGCAAGACCTTATAAAACTTACAATTACCTCATTTTATCTAAAGCACAAAAATAATTTTCCCATCTGCTGTAAATGTGTGGGATTCTAACTTCAATACTCTACTCTCCATCAACAGGATAGAAAAGGTATGTATAGCAAGATTCTGCGACATTATCCATCAACATCCGCTCTTCTTAATACCAATTACAAATTGCTGCCAATCACACTCTCCAAACCAACTCATAGTCATCTAAATCTTATTTATTACACCGCTCAAACTCCATGTCGAAAATGAATGTTCTGAAACCACAATACCACATTTCTACTGGCACCCAAAAACTGACAGACAGGCTGCTGATAAGCTGGCTGACTGGTTGACTGACTGACGGACTGACAACTCCCTTTTCTCTGACCTTGGACAACCTGAATGGAAGATAAGAGAAGACAGGAGAGAGAGAGAGAGGGGGAGATAAGGCGAGAGGGAGAGGGGGTGGGGGAAGGGACAATGGGTACGAGAAGAGAGAGAAAAGCGAGAAAGAGGAAGAAAGCTGGAGAGGGAGAAAAGTGGAGAGTGAGAAAGGATGGACAGAGAGAGGAAGAAGGGTAGGGAGGGAGACCAAAAAGGACCAAGAGGGGAGATAAGAGCATCCGGTTCCCTGCTCATGAAGCCCTCTGCTCCTCTTGACAAAGGATCCACCAATGTGAGTGAGGGAGGAGGGGAGATGGAAATGTAAAACAGGGGGGGGCAAAGGAGGGAGAGAGATAATTAGAGAAGAGAGGAGAGGACAAGAGAGGGGGAAAGGAGGAGTAAGGAGATGGGATACAAGGGGAGGGGAGGGGAAGAGAAGGTAAGGGAGGGGACAGAATAATAGAAGGGAAGGGAAGGGAAGCTAACCTAGGACAAGGGAGGAAGGAAGGAAGAAGAAGAAGAAGAAGAAAAAAAAAAAAAATGATGAGACAAAAAGAAAAAGAAGGGACGGACCAGTAGAACGACGACTTCCAACAGCTCAAGCCCCCAAATCACCACGACTCAAAAAAAAAAAAAAAAAAAAACTCCTCAAAGCTTGAACACCACACCTTGAACTGAAACTTCCCCTGAAGATTTTTTGAAACCTAAGCAAACATCCTCATTCAAATCCCCCACCCTCATTCTCTCGATATCCCTCGCAAAACCTCCCACTCCTCTAAGCTTCTCCGCGTCCTTCTCTCCCTCTCAGCAACACTTACCAGTGACAGGAGCCGCCTCATGGCCATCTCATGGCTCCAGATGCACTCACAGGGGTCGAAACCTTCGTCCGCCATCGTCTTCCTTGTCTGTTGGGAGTAAATTTCTATAATAAAAGATACTCATTCAAATCTTTGTTAGACATTACTGACTCACAAAAGTACTTTGAATGTATTGTCACTTCATACCTCCTTTCATCTAGTTGTGTATAAAAAGAAATTTTCAGTTATTTCGATATAATCATTTTCAGTTTTAATCATAATCCTCTTTTTATATTTTTTTGACTTTCACCTCCTGTCTGTGTTTCTAATTACCACCTCATGGGTTAAGTCGCATTTTTGAACCAGTGAAACAGAACAGCTGTAAAATAGATCAAAGGCAGATTAAATGTCTATCTTTTCCTCTGGTCTCAAGCTTGCTCTATAAGCATGAAATTGAGAATAGATCCCTTAAAAAAAAAAAAAAAATCTATATATTCTTTCTTGTAGTTCGCTGACAAAAGACCATAAAAACCTTAAAACTTAATATGTAATGCTACCTATAATGTCATCCACAGCATCACAAATATACTAATGAACACTATTCCCTTAATTAGAAAAATCTACACAAACATGCCTTAGGACTCGTGACGAGCCGACACTACCTGGTAATAAAACAGCTCCTGAACTTCTACATGTCTGCACAAGCCAAGGTAATTATAAATACCCTTATCACAAGATGAACACGAATCATGGCACAAATACTGAGTAGAGATAAGATACAAAATATGATATACTCTCCCTCTGCCACTACCCCCCCCCCCTCCATCTATCTAAATAGTAAATAATCCAAATCATTGCAAAACTAGCAAACTCATTTATTTATTTATTTATTTATTTATCTATTTTTTAATCTGTGATTGTATCACAATCTAAATAATGATGCTGTTACAAGGAAGAGAGAAAGAGAGAAAGAGAGAGAAAGAGAGAAAAGAGAGAGAGAGAGAGAGAAAGACAGAGAGAAAGAAATACATACAGAGAGAGAGAAAGACAGAGAGAAAGAAAGACATACAGAGAGAGAAAAAGACAAAGACATAAAGAGACAGAAAAAACTGTCTAAGACATAAAGAGACAAAATGACAAAGAGAGAGAGAGAGAGAGAGAGAGAGACAAACATAAATTGAAAATATAAATTGATCCAAATTTGTTAGTAGTAATAAAAACAAAACTAAAACAATTTTTTTTTTCCTTGCTATTTATCAAGAAAAATGGCCTCCACCTCACAGCCCAAGCGTTAAAACCATCTAATTTACATTGCATTACAGCTGCAAGAAAAAAAGGAGTCATTTTGGTAAATTCAAGTGTTCCAAATTTGAGGCTTGTATTGGCTTTTGCTAATAGGTCTTCCCTAATTGATCAATCAACATTTCATTACATTACATATTGTTGTTATGGTTGAATTATAACCTTTATATAACAATTTGTTTAGAGAACAAAATCACTACATTGAATTTGATCTATTAAGAAATGAGCAAAGTTGTAAAATAAATATATATTCAAAGGAATATCAAATATCTCTTCTTCATTAACTGCTATTATGCAATGTCATTTATGTATCTTATTTACTGTAATTAATCACAAAACATCTCCTTCAAATGATCTTTCTTACATCCTTATCCTTCATTCTTGCCATTGATTAATTTTCTCTAAATTACCCAAAATTGTTTTCCAACAACATTAATAAATCATCTTTATGCTAATTAAGAAATGCAAACATAAAATCTAACCAACTCATTAGAGAAAAACGATTTGGCATCATTCTTATGATACATAAATAGAATTATATCAAAGAATAAAGAATAAATAAAGAAGAATATCATAAAGAATAAATAAAGAAGTATATCATAAAGAATAAATAAAGAAGTATATCATAAAGAATAAATAAAGAAGAATATCATAAAGAATAAATAAATAAATAAATATATCATAAAGAATAAATAAATAAAGAAACATATCATAAAGAATAAATAAATAAAGAAACATATCATAAAGAATAAATAAATAAAGAAATATATCATAAAGAATAAATAAATAAATAAATATATCATAAAGAATAAATAAATAAATAAATATATCATAAAGAATAAATAAATATATCATAAAGAATAAATAAATATATCATAAAGAATAAAGAAATATATCAATGAATAAATAAATAAATAAATATATCAAAGAATAAATAAATAAATAAATATACCAAAGAATAAATAAAGAAAGAAATATATCATAACGAAAAAATAAACATACCTATAAATACACTTTGTTCCACAACAATAAAAGAACCATATTTATAATTCAAATCCTAGAAATCACTAAGTCCTTCCATAAAACAATCAATAAACAAAATAGGGAGTTATTTCTCATATCCTTTGGCAAATAAACATAAAAAAACACGACAATATGGAACTCGATATGCGACAAAACAAGAAAAAAAAGTATATAACAAACTCAGTTTCTTTAAACTTGACGAAATTCATATAAACGAGAGACTCAAACACCAAAAGCCACTCACACATGCAGAAAAATATCCCAAAAACTGACGAGAAATAAAGCCAAAAAATCCCAAACTACCGAACCATAAATATCAACTCTCACTCGCCATTGAAAAATTATAACCTAGAAATAAAAATACAACAAAATAAGCCCTTCACACCGTACAAAAAGCTCGTTCTCGCCACTCACTTAAATAAATAGATCAATTTCGCGCCAACGGAAGCCCAGAAGGACACTTTCCCGGCCGAGAAATGAGAAAAAAAGGAAAGAAATGGACGAGGAAGGAGTCGCCTCTGCTCTTCTCGTCCCCAGACCTCTCAAACCTCACAGGAGACAGGA